GAGTCGAGTCGCTTGCTCGTTCGCGGATGTCGTCACGAGGCAAGAGGGAAGAGACAGAAGAAGAGAAAGACGTAGGGCAAGAGAGAGAGAGAGGCGGGAGAAAGGGAGCCGATACGAAAGGGGAAACCTGGTGGGGCGGCAGAGAGTTAAACGTAAGAGCGAGAGGACGAATCGAAAAGAAAGAAAGAACGAGATCGTCTAGGTGGGGAGAGACGAGACGGGTTAACGAGAGAGAAAGAGAGAGGGATTAGGATCGAGCGAGAAAAGGTGAGGGAGGAGAGGTAAGTACGAGTCGTGTATGGTCGTCGTATAAATAGACGAGAGACGATATAGGCATCGTATAGTAAGACTCCTAGGGCAGGTAGTGGATGCTCGTGACAGCGATGAAACTACCTCGCTTACTTGCACCGTGAGCACACGGAGAGTCACTGACACACAATGCAAGAGGCTCCGCGCACGTGCATGCACGCACACTACGTTCCCACAAGGAAGCGAGCGAGCAAGCGAACACATAGCACGCACACGAACGAACGAACGTTCTCGCGGAACGACTTGACACGCGCACGCGTACACACACAAGCAGATAGATATACGCGTATACACCAGGGCTGTGAATGCGTCGTTGCTGTGTGGTCGTGTGTTGTCGTGGTCTCGTAGACCGCCACTCCACCGTGTCACCTATACCGCGGGTATCGACGACGAACGTAAGAACCGACACGAATTCCCGGGAACCGTCGACATCAGCCGGGCTCGTGGCTGCCCTTGCCACTGGCTGTAATTTCGTTGGTTCGTTCGAGCGAATGCGCGTGCACTCGCGTCACGAAAATCCGTCACAGTAGACCGGACCGGGAGGAGATGGCGACTACGATACACACGACACGGTCATGACGTAGTCATCGATGCACGCTCCACCGTATTCTTCTTCTTATTTACTTCGCGAAATCGAACCACCGTACCATCGAATTATTGACATCTTTCCTGTCGAGTTATATACGTGCTTCCTACACACGGTTCTCTCTTTTTCTTTCTCGCTCGTACCACGATCTCTCTTCCTCGTCACATGCACACGTATGGACTCGGGCTCAGTTGCTCAACTGAACTGCCTGCGACTTGTCGAGCCATATAACCAACCAGACAACGCGCACACCACCTACCACTATACTACTACTACTATTACCACCACCACTACCACCACCACCACTGTGTCACTGCTACCATCGCTACTACTACCACCACCTTTTCCTCCTCCTCCACCACCGCCGCCTTTACTTCATATCTTGTCGACCGCGTACACACGTATACACACACCACCGAACGATTCGACGCGCGCGCCGACTCACTGACAGCCGTTGCTTCACGGACACACCGAGCTACCTTACTCACACCGGCAAACCTGCCGTACGAAACCTTCTCGACACACTGAGGCCACGAGTACGAGAGTACGTGTAGAAGCCTCTAACCCGGAGCGCACACCTACGCACACCAGCAACAGCTACAACGCCGACGGACTGTAGCCTCAGGAGCGGCGTCACGCTCCCCGCGGACCCGTGGGCTCACATTCTTACCGCCGCGTTGCGTTTCACGGAATTCCTGCGTGTGGCTGTGCTTTCATCTTCCGTTTTCGACGCGTTATATTTCTTGCTCGTTAACAAATAAATTTCATCGATTTCTTCCGTTGTACGACTGCAGCTTTTCACTTGGACTCTACCTAGAACCTTAGACTTTCCTTAAAGTTCCCATAGGTCTCAGAATCCTCTAGGTACTCTCCGAGTCACAACTCTTTCCTGGAGAATCAATCACAAAATTTCGGTTCATTCTTCTCAGAATCATCTCTGGATAGACAAGTTTTTAAATTATTCAACGTACGATGAATCACCGCTTTCTAAGGTACTCGAAAATTAGGTTAAAAAAATGTTAGGTAACCCCTTCCTTTCGGTAGGAAAAGTAAGAAATTTGCGAACATAGTTAAAATTACTGTTATCGATAATTATTAATAATATCGCAATCGATATCGTTAAAGTTAATAAACGTAGTCTGCACTGTGTAATTTTACCATTCGAATTTAATTATTTGAAATCTGACTATATTTTAAGTTTGCTGGAATGGATTTGAATGCTAAAACCAGACTCAAAAATATGGAACCTAACCTAATTTAAGTAACTTTAGCTGCCTTAACCTAACCTAATCCAATGAGCTAGTCCTAACTTGACCTGAGCTTATAATCTATACTAAGCAATCGGTTAACCTAACCTATCTTAGACTGACTCGACCTAACATAAGCTTAAAAAGTCCTTATATAAATGACGAAATTACACGTTTATTACTTATTAAAATTTTGTGTAATTAAAATGTATACAAATTAAATTTTATTTTATAAAATTGATGAGTACAATTTTGCGTTAGAGACATGCCTCTGAAACTGATTGAGAAAATGTTCTGCTTTGAATATAACTTCACGTGTTTATACAGTGAATCAAGAGGAAAATAACGATATGCTTATTTATTTTTAATAACCATTCAAAAAGGTGCGAAATCTTAGATTTATTTAAATTAGTAGTTGTCACACGCGTCCTTCTGACCTGTAAAATGTAATTTTCTAGATTTCTTCGATAAAGTTTATTCTTAGCGGCCGCAGCACATAATAATTCTTTGGTAAATAATGATCGATAGTTTGATAAAGTTTGAAGTGCACGTGATCAATACGTGCAAGGACTAAAAAAGTATTTTATAAAAAAGAAAAATTACGGTGTATTCCATAGAAAGTGACCGTTACGCAGGCCTATTAATACATCGAAGAACATATTGTTCGTTTTAATGATTCACGGTTTGTTGTCCGTTGTCAATGTGCGTAGACTAAAAAAGAAGAATCGTAACGCTGTTTGTTTCGTTACGATTAAAACGATCGCGAAACGCGATAATTATAATTCTACCGGCTGCTGCATTTGCATACTATTTGTAAACTACTAATATTTGTTCAAGATA